TGGATGGGTGGATGGATGGATGGATAGGTAGGTAAATGGAGAGGCAGGTAGAGGGATGGATGGGGAATGGATGGGGGGATGGGTGGACAGGCAGACATATAAACAACCAAAGTTCCCTTCTACCCTTCACTTCACCTGGAAGTGGATACACAGACTGGCTGTGCCAGTTCTGTAGATCTGTCCACCCAGAGTAGACCATCAGGGAAGCTCTTTGGAAAACTTACCATTTCTGCAGGAGAGTTGGGAGTGAGGTAGAATTCCTTTAAGTGCAGAAAGAAGCCTTCCAGTTGTCCAATCAGCAGGAGTAAGATGACTCCATCTGCGAACTACAGAGGAAAGGACTGGAGGCTCTCACCTGGGAGACGCTGGATCCAGGCAGCCTGTGGGAGCCTATTCGGCCTTTTACAGGCTGTGTGGCCCTAAGAAAGTCACGCAACCTCTCTGAGCCTCGGGTTCCTTTTTGAGAAATGGGAAAGACATTCCCAACCCCACGGTGTTGCTGTAAATAGTGGGTACCAAGCACTTTAGACTGCCTGGTACATAGCCCATACTTAATAATAAGCCATTTCTAAACTCGCTGTGGAATAGCCTCATATCATTTTTTAAACAACATGCTGCTCCGTGAGCTACAGAAACACAGCCGGAAATAGAGTTAAGTATAACATCACCCATCAGGAAAAGGCAGACAACCTCACACCGGCTCACTGTGCCGCCGCCACGTTAATATTTGTGTCTGTCCTGTCTGTGTGTTCAGAGATGAAACTGTCGTCCCTGCCACCTGCATATCATATGCTGATATAATCCTATTGAATCTCTTCAAAGATACAAAACACAAGATGGATATTGGCGGAAACCAACATTCAAAGTCCTTAATGGAATTTCCTCATATTAAATCTGTCCCAATGTTATTAGTTTGGGCCTGAAATCTTTTCTGCTGATGTTCTTTGGTAATGCAACCGGAACACCAGAGCCTTCAGTATCCTCTCTTATTGAATAGTCTCTAAATGCTCCCTTCGCACGCACCGTTATCCTCCAAAAGCCATTGTATCAGCAAGGGAGAGACAAAGATGAAACCGGTGGAACATAAACCTAAGAGACGGTCCTGTTTATACCCACATGAAATGTAACAGAACTACAAACTATCGTTTATTGCATGTCTGCAGCATGTCAGGTAATATACTAAACACCACCTCATGTATCACTCACAATTCTATGAGATTGATATCCTTACCCATTTCATAAGAAGAGGAGCCTGAGGTTCGGAGAAGTCCAGTAACTTACTCAAGGTCACACAGCTAAAGTGGAGCATGTGTCCTTGGGGCCCTGGGGTCATAAGTGGCAAAGGCAGGATGGAAACGTGGTCACCCGGCTTCAGAGTCTGGTATTTCTACCCTGCCATGTTGCCACCATATCACACACAAACTTCTCCTGTGGCCATCATGTGAGGTGGGTATAAGCACAGACTCTGCCACCAGCTGCCTGGGTTCAAATCCCAGGTCTACCATATATCCTGTGTGACCCTGGACAAGTTAATTAACCTCTCTGGGCCTTAACATCTTCATCTATAAAATGGGGCAGCCATCAGTTCCCACCGCACGAGTTGTTGGGAGGGTTCCATGAGTTCATGTGTGGAAAGCACTTTGCTCAGGGCCTGGCACATAGTGGGGGCTTTACTGGCTTTAGCCGCTAGGCATGGGAGCACATCAGCCCCACCCCTGCCTGGCCACTGCCCACTCGGAGTGTGTCTGAGGGGTCAGCAGCTCCAACTGAGACCTTCACAAGCCATTTGGTCCAGCACGTGGCACAACCCAGGTGGCCTGACACCCGCGGCGCCACATCCACTTGAGGCCGCCAATGTCCGGCAGGCCCCGGGCTGGCAGTGAGCTGCCCTGCTCCTGTGCCCTCCCGTGCCCATGCTGAGGGAACACCAGGGGGGCACGGCAGCCAACCGCGCAATGCTGACCCCTCAGTTCCTGCCCCTGCCCCGGGGACAGTTCGCTTTGAGTCCGCCGTGGTGGGCCGAGCTCCTCGGCCGCACGTGAGGGACACGGAGCCCGCGGGGGCGGGGCTGCGCCGTCACCCGCTCCTGGCGCCCCACACAAACGGATCAGCACTGTCTGGCCAAACACAGCGCACGGGGCGGGCTCGCGCGCTTTTGGTCTTGGTGTCCGATGGTCTGAGATTAATTATGAAAACAAGCGCAACGGTGGAAAACAGCAAGAGCCGAAACGACTCCAGTTTTGTAAACTGCGCCACGGTCCCTGCCGCGCAGGGTCCCCGTGTACCTGGGGACAATGCTGCCTGCCAGCCACACCCGCGCTGGGGAGGAGGACCCCAAGGCTCCAGGAGATGGCGTGACCCCCAGACCACACAGCGGGGTCCCTCTTTCCTCCCTGCACCAAGAGCCCCTTCCTTGCCTGGGGGCCCCACAGCTGAGTCCCTACCTGCGTGTCCAGGTTCTGCACAGACAGGCCCAGGGAGTCCAGCTGCTGGTTGACAAAGGTCACGATGGCCTAGCCAAAAACAAGGGCCCCAGGCCCAGGGTCTCGGCTTTGTGACCTTCCCACCTGGGGTGACAGAAAGCACCCCCCACCAGCCGCTGTGGAGCAAGGGCCGTTTCCCTCCCGCGCCGCCCGAGCTGCGACGACCCCTACCTCTTTCACCGCGTGCACTTTCTCCGGAGCCAGCTTAAACAATTCATCAAAGACGTCCTCTGCAGACACAGATCCAATAAACACCTCGTTACGACGCTATTATCCCTACCAGACAGGGAACGCTTTTCACAAAAGTTTCTCAGCATAACCAGCGCGAAGGGAGCTGTAGTTTAGATCACGGTTCTTGAATAAAACGGGCCTGGATGTCAGTCACTGCTCCCCGGCTGTGTGGCCCGGGGGCAGTCACCTCCCCTCTCTGTGCCTCAGTTTCCTCATCTATAGGGTATGGTTGGCAACATAGAGCAAACGTGATAGCAGGTGACACACACACTTGGCACAGTGCCTGGGCGCACGGTAGGACTTTGGGAGATGCTCGTGCCTTCCGCAGCGGACGCCCGGCACCGTGCTCGCCCGGCCGCACCCTCCTCTGGGCGCTGGCCGTCCCCACCCAGGGCCCTCCAGGGGCTGCCACGGGCGGTTGGCCAGGGGCTGGCTGGGGCTGATGTGGGTCCAGTGTCCTCCCCGGGTTCTCGACTGGCAGAGGGAGGAGGGCAGGCCCTCCCACGAGCCCAAAAGGCCAGCTCCCTCGGCCACTGAGTCGCTCCCTCCATGCCTGGGAACGGCGGCTCGGGCCCCCGGGCCAGCCTCAGGTGCCCCTTGGCATACAAGCTGGGTTCCTGCCATTTGCAGCTGACATCCTTCCCGTGGGGACACTGGCCCTCGGGCACTGACTACCCAGACTGAGTTTACTGCGGCTTCTGCCACTCGGCAGCTGTGTGACTCTGAGCAAGTCACATCATGTCTCTGTGCCCCAGTTCCCTCATTTGTGAAGGGGGAGTCTCACGTGAAGATAGCATCGTCACGTTCAAATGCCTCAGAACCCACGAAACACGGTGGGAACACCACCGGTCCCTTCCAGACCTCTCGGTGTGCGTTCAGGGAAACGGTGTCACTGAAAGGGCCAGGCAGCGAGAGGCAGATTCGTGCTCAGGAGACGCCCTGCTCTGTATCCCTGCCCCCCGGGTGACACCATCAGCATGCTGCCCTCTGTCCAAAACTCTGCTCCCTGGGCCACCCCCATGTCAAGCCGCCCCTCCCCCCACAGACACAGACCCCGCCAGCGCTCCCCATTCAGCCCCCCTCGGCCCCCACTCTCAGAAGCTCCTCACAGGTCATTATTTCTGCCTCTGCGGGGGGCGTGTTCCTTAGAGTCCTCTGCCACGGTCCGTGTCCAAGTGGGGAGGGTGCAGGGAGGGAAAATGGTGGTAGGAAGGGTGGGTGGTGGATGGACGGAAGGACGATGCATAAACAGACAGGGGGATGAACTGGCCAGGCCGCCTGACTGAGGGACGGATGAATGAAAGAAATAGCAGCCGGTCAATCGATCGATTGGCAGACGGCTCTGGCGCAAGAGCAGAAGCCACGTTACTGACCACGCGCTCCTGGGCGTTCGCTGAGTGCTGAACACGTTCACGAACTACCTCCTTCAACCCTCACCACCCCTTTAAACGGTGGGTGCCATAGTTAACCCATTTTACAGACGAGGAAACTGAGGCACAGACAGGTGAAGACACTTGCCCTAATGAGCGGGGGGATTCGTGTTGGAACCCAGGCCACCCGGCTGCAGAGCCCACTCACTCAGCGGACGCCCCCGTGACTGCCCACAGGGACAGCACCGTGAGGAGGAGCCAGCCCCGCGGACACACAGACAGACAGACAGAAGCAGGGACAGGTGCACAGGAGTAAGGCTTGAGGTGCAAGTAGCAGCCCACGAGGGAGACAAGAGGACATCCATCATTCTGTGTCTGCGATGACACGTGTCGGACAGGAGATCTCCTTACGTGACAAAAGTACTCACCTGAAGGCTGGTCCTTGTCTGTGCTGAAGGGGACATTGCAGAGGGGAAAAAGCAAACACATGGTTAAAAAGTCGGCAGACCTATAATCTGTTACTACTACAAGCCTCGGTGCAGCGAGGGTGCGGAGAAACCGGGGTGCTCGTGGTCTCCCTGGCAGCTCCGGGGGAGGGCGTGGTGGAAAGAAACGTGCAAAAGGCGGTCCGTACCCTTGCCCTGAGGCTTCCACACCTCGAACACTTGGCTTTTACTGTGTCTGTGGGCACTGTTCCGTCTCGAGGAGGGCGTAGCACTCAGACAGCAAAGGGCACGAATGCTCAGTGCGCAGCTTGCGCAGCTGTACACGTACACACAGCTGTGCGACCACCACCCGCCCCGACGCAGAGCCTCCCAGCACCCCGTGTGCCCTCTCGTTTCCTACCCGCCCCTGTGTCTCCCCACAGATGCCGCTGCTGTGGTTTCTCTTGCCAGAGATTGGATTTGCCCGTCCTGCAAGTTTGTGTAAGCGAAACCATACGGCATATACTCTTTCGTCCTGGCTTCTCTCACCCGTTTTTATTCTCTCTGAAAGTTTTTCCTTTGATTTTTTGTTAAATGTTTAGCCCTACCTGTGCCCCACGGAAGCGAAGTTCTCTGGGTCCAGGGGGGCAACACCCCTGACCACGGCCCTCAGAGGGGGAGTGGGCCACGTGGGCAGAGACCAGGATCGACCCAGGGCTCAGCACAAAGGCCACCACTGCCAGGAGGGACAGACACCCTGCGCTGTTCCTGTGGACCCAGTCGAGCCTTCAGGGGACGGCAGCCCCCTCGACACCTTGGCTGGGACCCTCAAGAGACTGTGAGCCACGACCACCCAGCCAAGCTGCTCCTGAATCCCCGACCCACAGAAACGTCAAGGACAATAAACGTTCACTGTTGTTTTAAGCTGTGAATTTCGGGGAAACTCGTTACACAGTAATCAATAACTAATATTAATATGAGAAGTCAGAAAACCCTCGACACCACCTGGCAGCTGCCACATCACTGGGCTGACACCCAACAGCCGTTCACCCAGCTGCACCCTGACCAGTGCGGGCGGACGAGCCACGAGCCCGCGCGGCCCCCAGGCAACCCTCTCGAGGCCCCGCCTGTTCCCTGCGGCGCTCGGACGGGGCGCTCTGAGAGCTCTCGTGCCAGCCTTGGATTCCTGCACAGAATCCTAGAACCATCAGTGTCGGACCATATTTGACCTAAGTCTCAGTTAACAGAGAAAGAAACTGAGGCCCAGGGCCACTCGGGCATCCAGAACCTCCAGTGTGGTGGGCCTGGCTTAGTGGACCTGACCGTCGGGCAGGAGGGCGCTTGGACCGAGAGCGGGAAGCACATCCTGACTTCAACGGGAGGAGGGAGAGAGCCCGGCAGGAGGAGTTTAAAAGCAGGGAAGGGAGGAAGCGGCAGGGCAAATGCGCCCTGTGTGGGCTGGCGGGGCTGGGACAGCAGGGGCGTAGGGACCACCGTGTGAGGGAGCCGGGGGAGGACGAGGGAGGCTCTTCAAAGTGTTTTCCTACAAGGTCCGGATGCCCCTGAGGCCTGCGTCTCCCAGCCTCCTCCGCCCGGCTCCTCAGTCGCAGCACCGGCAGTCACGGTGTCCTGGGTCTGAATCCTGGGACCCAACACCCAGCCGTGCGACCTGGGCACGCCCTGCCTGCTCTGGGCTTCCGTAAGCTGCTGAGAACCGACCTCGCCGGGCTGGACTCCGTGAGGGCTCAAACACTCAGCCCCGCGCCCTGCGCACAGTCGGTCTTCGGTACAAGTCAGACAAGGGAGGGGAACCCACAAACGTCCTGCCAGTGGCCTCCTCCCAACCCATCCAGAAAGCTGCCTGGACAAGACAGAGCCGGGCTGCCGCGGGCAATCTGGGTGACAGGCTGGGCAGGGCAGCCACGCCCTGGCTATGCACGGTTCTCTGCTGCTCCTGCCACTCTGCAAGGACGGGGGAGCATTCTGCCCACACCAGAGAAAAGACTTTATGATTCACTGGGCAGAACCTGCATCCCAAACCCAGGGGTCCCCACCCCAGAAAATGCAGCAGGGTGGCTCGGAGGGCGTCAGGCAGAGACGGGCAGGGTGGCAGCTGTGGGACAGAAGGGCTCCCGCGTGCTGCCGCAGGACTGAGGGGTCAGTGTGGCCCTCCCGGGGCTGAGAGGAGCCCGCAGAGTGTGGGGGCCCTTCCCACGGAGGTCAGGCAGATCTGCCCCACCCCCTGCCTGCACCCACCCTGCAAAACCCAGCCCAGCCCCAGCCCCAGCCATGGGCCTTGTCCCCGGTCACCTGCTCTCAGTGAGTTGTTCCAACAACTTCTCCGACTTTAGACCACTCTTGGTGCTCTAAGAAAGAACAAAGGAGAAGAAATCGAGTAATCCCAGGAAACTCTGGGACCCAAAGCAGCCCCGAGGGACCAATTTGCTCTGCCTCACCCTTGCCCGGGTGGCCTCCCAGGTGGCCCTCAGCCCTGTGGCCAGGCTTAGCTGTCCCTACCCGTGAGCCTGGAGCCCATGAGGGCGGGGATCGTGGCTGTCTCCTGGTGGGAGGGGCAGTGTCAACGAGCACAGCTGATATTACTGAGCGAATGAATGCGTGAATGAATGCAATCACCTGTGTGCACGTACGTGCACACAGCCACAAAGCTGCTCAGTAGAGAATTTTAATCAGTGGTTTTGAAAACAGCAGAAATGCCTTAGGGTTTGGCTGGACGTGGCTTATTCTGTTGGGGCAGGTCAAAGGCAGGCCCTGGGGCGTGGACGCCGGCACACCGGGGACCCGGAGCCTGGGGGAGCAGTGCTGGGAAGCAGGAGCAGGTGGGTCCCCTGCTGTGGGCTCAGCGTCTGGCAGACAGAGGACCTAGGCCCCCGGGGCATCAGCCACAGCACAGCAGCACACGGGCTCGAGCGCGTCCCGGGCAGAGACATCCCAGAAGGCCCCTGAGAGAGGACGGGGCCCAGCACAACCGTCAGCGCTGTAGCTCGAGGACAGTGCTTTGGACTCAATGGTGCGAAGGCTCCTGAACAGCCATGAACAGATGGCCCCGTGTGGCCCACGTGTCCCGGCTTGCCACCAGCCTCTGCCCAGGCAGATGGCATCTGCTGAGGCCACGGTGCAGCTAGGCCTCTGCAGCCCGTCCCCAGCTCCAGCCAGTGCCCCACCGCCATCCCAGCGGGACCTGCCATTTCTCACGGCTCCCTGAAGCTCAGCCGGGTCAGCCCCTGCCACAGGAAGCACCCCCACCGCTGGGGGCAGCAGTGTGGCCCCAAGATGCTCGGCCGCCCCATGCATATATACCGGGGCTGGCATTACCTCGATGGTGATGACCTCCACCTGGACGCCGGTCGGGAGGGGCAGGTTGGGCTGGAAGCGCTTGGCCAGGGCCACCAGAAGGTGCAGGGTGGCCAGCAGGTCCTTGCTGAAGATGGCTGGGAGGGGAGAAGAGCGCTGGTAAGAGCCGAGGGGGCTGACTCCGGCCGCTGAGTGGGGGCTCCGCACCATGAGAACAGCCCCCTGCAGACTACGCTTCCCCAGCTACCTGGAGATGCATATTCAGAGCCCTAAAAATAGCCACACTTGGCCTGGGTCATCCCACTTCTGGGAACACAGCCCAAGGGTACCACCCACCTTGCAGACGGGGCTTCAGACACGAAGACGCTCACGGCAGCGCCATTGGGTGGGTGTCCCAGGGCAGGGCGCTGGGTGAGGCATCGTTAGATTTAAGCTGAATGGACTCAACTCAGGGCCAACACTGGAAACGTCGGCTCCTGAATGTGAGACTTCAACCGTGGATGCGGGGGCACGAGGCCTGGGCTGGAAGCCGGCTCCGTTACACCAGCCCCGCCCGCCTCGAAGAAGCCACCTAGCTCCTGCCAGCCCAGTTCCCTCACCTGGCACACGGGGGTGTAAACCGAATGGAAGGGAGTCTACACCAGACTGCTAATGGGGTGGGAGGGGACGGCGAGGTGCTCTGCACACTCCCAGTTTTGCACCAGCTGGCACTGTGGGTGTCATTTCCATGGATTAGTGAAAGGGACAGTTAACGCCCATCTGACAGGGCTGGCAGGCGCGTCATGGCACTTGGAACCCAGGAGAGGCTATCACCTCGGCAAGGCTGTCGCCCGGGGTTGCAGTGAGACCCTCGGGGTACAGACTGCTGGGCTGTCCGCTCCTCCACCAGATCCTGGCCTCCCCTGCTCTTGGCTCCTGGAGGCTTCTCCTCCCCTCCGGCCCCCAGGATGTGGCCCCGCCTGGGCGGAGGATGGGCACCTTCTGGGTAGGTGAGGAGCCACGGAGCAGAAGGACCAGGGCTGCCCGACCCTCCCGGTGCCCAGCTGGCGCCCCACGTACTGTCCACGCTCCACTTGGCCTGCGGCTCCTGCAGCTGCAGACTCCGGTTCACGGCCTCCAGCACCACCTCGAGCTTGTGCCTCTGGCTGGCGGCGGTCAAGGCGATGTCCTGTGCTTCCAGCTTGAGTGCTGCCAGCTTCTCTGCGGGCCGGAGAGGGCGTTGAGGGCCCCAGGGCAGGGCACCTCAGGGACCCTCCAGGAGGCTGAGCCAGTGCTTCAGACAGCGAGAGCCTGGGAACACATTCCTGGCGCCTGGCCCCGGCCACCCCCACAGCAGCAAGCAGACGTGCCCACCGCCCCCTGGAACACCCCCACCCACACACGAAACGGGATCGATGGGCATGCAGGCCGGGCGACATGAGCAAGCCACAGCCCTCAGAGCTGGCTGAGCCGGCCCGGCTGAGCTAGACCACCCCTGTGCCCAGCCCTTGGCCTTCTGCACAGCCGTGTCCGCTCATCTCTGCAGGGAGCGTGGCTCAGTGGGGAAGGCCCGCATTCCTGGGCTCGTATCCTAACTCCCCTGCTGTCTTGGCTGAGAGACCTTGCACAAGTCACTAGGCCTTTCCGAGCCTCAGTTTCCTCGTCGTGAAATGGGCTCAGCGCCAGCGCAGCGCTGTTCCGAGGAGGAGCTGCACCTGCTACCTGGGAAGTGCCGGGCGCGTCAGCCAGGCTCCCGGGATCGCCGGGCAGCCCGTCTACAAAGAGCTCAGCAACGCCAAGCCTGCCCCCGGCTGGGTGCCGAGGACACGGAACTGGGCCCATCCCTGCCCTCCCGGGCCACGGTTCTGTGCGGGAGGCACTCACACAGATGAAACCTGACCACACAATGGCCAAGGGAGAGGGTGACTCCGGGGCTGCGGGGAAGACCGACCATGGGCCGGGAGGTGGCCCTGAGAGTGAGCAGCCCCTTCGAAGCCCCCGGAGCTTACAAGACTGAGGCAGGAGCACCCCAGGCAGGACCCAGCCCTGCCTCAGCTTCCTCGCCAGCAGCCAGGGGCAGCCTGAGGGCGGGGACGGTGGGTTTCTCTATCTCCCGGAGCCTAGAAACGGCAGGCACTGAGTGAATAGGAGGCAGTGGGTTGGGGGGAGGCCCACCTAGAAAGTGAGACAGGCGACCCTGAACCTGGGCTGTTGTGAAGCCAGGAGGGGTCAGGCTGGGGCAACGGGGCCAGGCAGCCCCCGAGCAGCCGCTTACGGAACAGGTGGTGCAGGATGAGCCCGTCGAACATGTCCTCCTCCAGGCTGCGGACCACGATGTGCTCGGGGAGGAGGGTGGCATTGATCCACTCCATCAGCACCTGCAGGCCCCAAGAGATAGCTGACTGGGGTTGGGGGGCACTTCTCTCCCGGCCCCCACTTGGCTCGGCTCTGTCCTCACCTGGAACACCCTCCTCTCCACTGCCAACTCCTACCCATCCTTCAAGGCCTGGCCAAACGCCACCTCCTCTGGGAAGCCCTCCCTGATCTGCCAGGCTGAGCTGGGGCCTATTCTGGGCTCCCGCAGATCCCCTGCTTCTGTCCATCACAAGCCTGAGCTCTGTGGGGCTGTCGTTATTACATGTGAAAGTGGGGTGCTACTGAACAAAGACCTACAAATGCGGAAGTGGCTGTGGCATTGGGGGGCAGAAAGACTCAGAAATGGAGGCTTGATGGAAAAGCCGAGATGGCCTTGCAGGGGTGGCTGGTAGAAATACGGATGTCCAAGGTGCTCCTGGCAGGTCTCAGGAGGAAGTGGGGGCATGTTACCGGAGCACAGAGGACAGAGGTGGGACGCAGTGATGTGTCCACAGGTCAGGGAGCCAGGGTCCGGCAGCCCCCAGAGCTGGGAGAGGCGCAGGACGGGCTCTTCCTCCAGAGCACGGTGGAACCGAACCTGCCAACGCCTTGGCTGAGGGCCCCTGGCCTCCAGGACCATGAGGCACATGTTTCTGTTGGCCTCAGCCACCCAGCGTGCAGTCGCCTGTGGCGCCAGCCCTAGAATGCTCGCGTGGGGCTGCTGGCGCCCCGCCCCACACCCAGGTGTTGCCACGGTGGTGCCCCCAGCCCGCTCCCCCTGCGGCTCTGCCGGCCTGTCCCACCCCGCTGGCGCTCAACAGGCCAGAGTCCTGGGGATTAAGGCTCCACCGCTGTCAGCAGGTGGTGTGCAAATACCCTAGCTCCTTGTCCCCTGGGCACGGGTCCCCAGCAGGCCACAACCAGCTCAGTCACCCCCTGTGCTGGCCCCTTCCCTCCCTTGTCTCCTGGGATCACCTCCTGGCTCAGCTACTCACACTCGAACCCTCATCTCAGGAGCAGTCTGGGAGGAACCCAAACTGAGGTGGCGTGTCAACACCCACAAGTTTCCCAGGAGGCACTGGGTGGTTCTTCCCTGTGTCCCCAGGGCGTGGCACAGGGTTGGGCCAGGCATGGGGATGGGGATGGGGATGGGGATGGGGATGGAAAGAGTGAGGGATTGGGAAGGAGAATAGAAAACGGCCCACAAATCCTCTGGGTATGGAAGATGATGTAGGCCAGGAGGCCTCCCTGGAGGAGGCAACAGAGAGGCCACATGGAGACTACAGAAGTAGGGCTGAGGGAAGGAGGCCCCAAACCCACCTATGCCCAGCTGGCCCAGCGGCCACAGCAGCAGGCCCATGACCAAGGAGAGAACCAAGCTGCCCTTACCAGCTCTCCATCACCACGGCAACCAGGCAGGCAAAGGGGCCGACAGCCTGGGTCAAACCCCACCTCTGTCCCCGGACAGCTGTGGGCCTGCACAGGACAGGTCACCTCTCTAACCTCACTGTCCCCTCCCAGGGACACAGATCCCCTCAGGTCCCAGGAGGCTGCCAGGATGGTGCATGAAGGCACACAGTCAGTGCTCAATAAACGCTCGTTCATGCAGCCATTCAACAGGCCTTTCGGGACCTGGTGGGGGGGGTGTCGCCCGCCAGCCTGTGGTCCAGAGTGGGGGTGGCAGAGGCCGGTGCCGGGTCTGCCCGCAAAGCTGTCTCCAGAGGAGCCGGAGCTGCGGAGGGCGGCCGTACCTTCTGCAGCTCTTCGAATTTGGGGTCCTTCCGGGAAGTGGGTGGCAGGTATTTCTTCTTTCCTCCTGGAAGCAGAGCGGGCACGTGGGGACCCTACAGGACGCTCGGCAGCTCCCCCCGCAGGTCACCCCCAGGGCCCAGCCCCTGGCCCCGCGGGGAGCTGGGTCCTGCCTCTTCACTCAAACGCCCTTCCCTCGCCGCCCTCAGGAGCGCCAGCTCAGCCCCACGCGCTGCAAGGCCGGTATTTTGAGACGTGCTTAAACTCAAATTATTTCTTAATTCTCTGAAATGCAAACTTAACTGGGTGTCGTGTATTGTATCTGGCAACCCTGCCCACTTACGTAAAATGAAACCAGGGGACAGAGAGGCCGATGACGGGCCCGGGCCCACCAGGCTGTAAGGGACAGATGTGGGACCTGCCCCAAGTCTGCCTGCCCCCGCGTGGGTGAGACCCGGCTCGCCCTCCGAGGCCCAGCAGCTCCCCTTCCCCGAGGCCTTGGTCAGGAGCTTCCCACGTTTTGGACTCACGGAACCCACAAAATGTCAGGGCCAAGAGGGACCTCTGCGATCAGCTAGTCACCTGGGGGAAACTGAGTCAGCAGTGGGGACTGCCTGGCCTACGTTGACCAAAATGCGTCACCTCTCGTGTGACCCAAGTGGGGGCTTTTCCTAGACGTGCTGAAAGCCTTCGAGGACTCCCCAGCCCTGTGTCTTTTGAAAAGACAGAAGGCAGGAGAGCCGTGCGCTAATACGCCTCACGGGACAGGCACTCAACGAACACTTGGGAGTGTGCGGAGGGGGCAAAGGAATAAACGAGCAAACGGACGACTACAGCGCCTCCCCTTCCCGGAGCAGACTTCTTGCCGCTCAGAATTATCCCGTGTCCGGCTTTGCTTGCCAGAACTATGGGTATCTCTAAGTCAACTGTAGAACAAAAAATAAGGTCTTTTTGAATAACGAAGTCCTGCCACCCCAGCTCTGCACTATCCCCAGGATGCTTTCCAGTCTCGACGGTTTGCAAACACCAGACAGTGAGGACGTCAGCTGGGAGACTCGGCATGAAGCCCAGCCCCCCTGGGGTCCTCACCGTGCTCCGGGGCCCTCTTGGTGCCGGGATTCTTGTTCCACGACGCCTGCTTTAAGAGGCGGAATTCACAGGATCTAGAAAGTTGCGTTCTGCCCTTTTCCCTTAAATGCTTCACACATTTTCTCCGTCATCACGGTCTGCGCTAATGGCCGCATAAACCTAGTGCGTCCACCTGAAGCTCTTCCCCACTGGCACCTGCGGGCCGCGCCTGCTGTACTGTTGTTTGTCCCTTTTAGAGCACAGGGCGAGGGTGACAGTTCTGGGTGCCTGCTGCGTCCTCCTTTCGAACCCTCTCCTAGGAGGGAAATTTGGGGGCAGTGGTCGCAAAGTCCCCAAACGGCTCATGAAGGGTGACCCACCGCACTGAGTTGCTCTGACCCCAGGCCCCCCCCGCTGTTTAGAGCCCCCCTCGTGAGAGGGGAGCAGACCAGTAGCCCCACGTCCCGCGAGGCGTCAGATCCTGCGCGGGGGGCGTAGAACCTGCGTGCTAGGCTGTCCTTGGGTTCAGGAAGCAGCTGCAATACTTACTAACAGAGTGGCCCGCTACTCTGGCTTGTTACTCCCTGTGCCTCAGTTTCCTCGTCTGTAAACAGGAGGCCATGACGCCCACCCTCAGGAATACGTAAGTGCTTAGCGCGGGGCCAGCACAGAGCAGGCTCACGGCAGTCAGCACTATCATCACGGTCGACATCGTACCCAGCCTGGAGGTGTGAGGCCATGGGGGGTGACCCCGCAGACGGTTCCAGGAGCAGGAGGTGGGGCGAGCAGAGCGCGGAAGGCAGAGGCCGGGGAGCAGGACGGGGGGACACCTCGGAAGCAGAGCACGTTCCCAGGCACAGCCAGGCTCGCTCTGGCCGTGCAGACCCTCCCCCTCCGCCCTGGCCCGGCCCTCAGGCCCGCGTGGCACAGCACCTTGCGGGAGCTCCTCCTCCACTGGCAGGTCCACCGCCCTCGGGAGCTGCAGCAGGTGGTAGAGGGCCTCCGGCTCCATCGTCTCCCACGCCTGCCCTGGAGGATGCGGGGACAGAGAAGCCCTAACCTCACTCCGTGCTCATCGTCTCCTCTAAACGGGAGGCTCAGAACAGACGGGGAGCTCGGCTCCGTGGACCAGTCACTGCACCGGCCCAGGCCGGGGACAGGGCCCCTGGCGAGAAGGGGCCTGGAGCCAAACCTCCCGGGCTGGGGGCACAGCCCAAGACGGGGGACTTGGCGGGGACCTGGTCCTCCCTTGGTCACGGGCAGAGTGGCCTGCCCACTGCCCTCCCGCAGCGCCCGCACGGGAGCCCCCACCTCTGCGGTCAGGACAGAGAGGGGTGCAGCCCGCTCCCCAGAGCTTGAGGGGTCGAGCTCGAGGGGGACTCCCAGGCTGGCCTGCAGAGGCTGGTTGAGGTGAACACGTGGACGGAAGACATCACGACACCCCCAGACCCTGAGCAGAAACCGGCCATCCCCTCCAGCCCGGGAGCCCGAGACGGACCAACACAGAGCAGGCGCGGCCAGCCTCTGAGTGAGCGAACCGGGGGAGGGCCTGCCGACGCCACCAGACGTGTCCCCACTCCACGGAGACGTGGTTCCCGGGGGCGGCCTGGCCCCCAATCCTGAGTGAGGGTCTCTGTAGTGGGACCATCATCCCAACCTCTGGCTGCGCAGGAAGGGCCAGCGCTTACAGAGGGTGCCCTCACCGCCTGGCTGTCGTGATGGGCTGAGGCCCACGCCTGGAAGGGGGCAGACCCAGAGGCCAGCCCAGCCCCCTTCCTGTTCCCGCGGCCACTTCCGCTCCGGCGAAGGCTTCGCGGCTCAGCGGGCAGCTTTGGCCCTCCCTCGCTCTCTCCAGCCCCGGGTGTCCCCAGATTGACAAACTCACTCAGACAACAGGTGGGGAGGCCGCAGCAGAATCTGGTGGTCAAAGCAAGGAGATGGGGAAGCCGTGCAAGATGGGGGCGTTCACAGGGCCAGAGCCACCCCCGTCAGACCGGCAGCCAGCCTGGGGGAGGACAAGGGTTCCAGGACGCCCAGAAGCATGGACAGGGAGAACACAGCCACCAGGACTGACTCCCGGCCCTCAATCCCCAAGCTTCCTGCTGGACACCAGGACTCCGGCTTGAGGACCAGGGCTGGAGAAGGGGAAAGAGCCCCGCCTGGGGTTAGGAGGCCTGGGTTCCAGCCTGGCTCCTCCTCACTCTGGCTGTGTGACTTTGGGCAAACCCCCTGCCCTCTCTGGTCCTGATGTACCTTTACAAGGAGGGCCTGGATTCAATGCTGGCCAAAGGCAGTCGAGCAGACACAGACCGGGAAGCCACCTCTAGGGACAACCAGCACTGGGCAAGTCCCCCCTGCCCCAGGGCCTCAGTTTCTGCAGCTGAGGAAGGAGGACTAGCCCTTCTCCCCCAGCATGGCTGACGCTCAGGGGAGGGTGTGGGATGGAAGCGGAACTGTTCACGGGCTACCACGAGAGCTACCGCGGGGCTCTTGTGCCCGTGGGGACCTCGACAACTCCTCCGTAAAATGCGGAGGGAGGACCAAGCCGCCTGTAAGCGGGGTGGCGGGAGGGGCCCCAGGGGCCCAGGGGCCCACTTTTACCAACTCCCTCCCTGTGCGGCCTCAGCGGAGACTCTGGGGTCATCTCCACATGGCGCCTGGGACCCTCCCTCTGTGCCCCCTGGCGCCCAAGCATGGTGGGCAGGCAGAACCTCCCAGCAGGTGCAGACTCACCTGGGCCCAGGTGCAGGGGGACTCACCTGGCTGCTTTCTCCACGCAGGAGACGAAGGCCTCCGAGCCCCGCTGGTGGTCCCTGGGGCTCTGAATAAAAGCAGGTTCCGGGTTCCCTACGCCGCCTGGGGCCGGGCCGGCCAGGAGGCAGGGGCTCACTTCCTCCAGGCCTGCTCAGCCCTGCAGGCAGCTTCCTCCTCTCCGCGCAGCAGGGCCGGGGAGGAGGCCGCGGCCGCCGCAGACCTACCGGAAGGCTCTGCCCGAGCCCCGGCCACCGGCCACGCCTCAGGCGATTCGAACTTAGTATTTCTTATTTCTCTCCCGCCCCCACCTTCCCTCAAATAAGCCAGGTCCTCCCCAGCCTCCCTCTCTCTCCAAACGGCAGCTACCAGGGCCAGAGCCTGGGGACCAGCCGCCACATCCCAGCCACCAGCAAACCAGCAGCTCCGCCCGCGCATCCTCCCACCTCCAGCCCCGGCCAGCCCCCTCCCCGCCCGGACCACGCGGGAGCCTCCCGTCTGGGCTGCCACCTCCCGCGCCCGCCCCTCCACGAGCAGGCACAGCGTTCACTTAAAACCCACGTCCCACAGCTCTTAAAATCCAGTCTGCACAGCCCCGCCCACACGTCCCAACATATGTGACCTGCTGGCGCATCTCCGTCCTTGTCCCCTAACTTCTCCTCCCAGCCACGGTGACCACCCTCTGTCCTCTGAAAATGCCACGTGCCTTCCTGCTTCAGCGTCCTTCCCCAGCCTGGAAGCCCCTGCCCCAGCTTTTGACATGGCTGAGTCCTCATCCTTCACGTCAGCTCGAATGCCTCCTCCTCTGGGAAGCCCTCCCTAACTGCCTGCTCTATAGTAAGGCCTCCCTGCGATTCGTTACTACGGCCCCCGAGGTCTCCTTCACGGCACTTAAAGCTGTGATGCTGTGGGTTCGGCGAGTCGGTCAGCGGGTGTTCAATACCTGTCTCCCCATCAGACGTGGCCCACCTCTCACCCTCTGTTACCTGCCGTGCCTAGGACAGCGCCCGGCACAGAGTGGGCTCCATGAATGAGGAGCGACGGCCATTGTCGCCCAGGGCATCAGGAAGCCTTTCTGGAAGAGAAGTGGGCCTTGACGGCTGAGTAGGAGTTAGCGGTTGAAGAGGAGCGAGAACCTGGCACACGCGAAGGCCTAGAGGAGTTCGCGGAGAGATCCCAGCACGGTGGATGTCAGAGAGCACCTCAGACCCCAGCGGCCTCTCGAGCTTGAATCTTCACCATCCAGGCGGAAATTGAGTTTCCATAGCAACAGGTGACACGCTGGGCGACCAGGAAGCCGTCCACCCTTTCTCTCTGACAGATCAGGAGGGAAGCAGGGGCAAGGGGTGCGTGAGAGCAGGAAAGTCGGGTTGTTTATGAGAAGTTATGAAAACATCAAAGATTAGTAGTTACTAATGCTCATATTTATAGAGCCACTGATGATGAAACAAACACAATTTTAAGGGCTTTAATTTTGCTGGAACCCACCCTGTGAGGTAGGTGCAATTCTCATGCCCGTATTACAGAGAAAGAAACTGAGCCCGTGATTCCGCCATGCCCATGCCCCCACTGAGACTGGGCTTTGTGACAAAGCGGCAGAGAAGCAGCCGTGCTCAGGGCCTGTTTCGCTAGGGCAGCGTCGCAAGCTCAGCCTGGTTTCAGACCCGGTGGTTCTGGTGGTGGATTCTGAGCCCCGGATCACAGCCGAGCAGGGGCATCAGTGAGAGTCCCAGCAGCAGAGAGATGGCACCTTCCAATGCTGTAACTGCAGAGGGTTTAGTACAGGCACTATGGCGGCAGGGCTGAAGGCACCCAGAGGACTCGGTGCTGCACCCCCAGGCTAGCAACGTGTGGGAGCCGTTCCAGCTCCAAAGCCTCAGGGGCAAAGGAGCGGGTGCCAGAGCCCAGGAAGAGGGGCACTGGGTAGGAGCTGTGGCCTCTGGTGGGGACACAGCCAGAACGTGGCTACCCAGCAGAGGGGCACAGCGGAAGAGACCTCGGCCTTCCTCTCTCCCTCCTGCCAGGGCTTCCCCCTCACCACACCCAGCTGGGTGCCGGAGGCAGGAAGCTCACAGTTGAGTCGCAGAGGTCGGGACGGAGAGGACAGTGGGGCTGGGGAGTGAATAGATGAGCCCAGGAGTTACACTTCTGGAGCCAGCGGTCACTTAGCAGCTTCCCAGCCAGGGCGGCTCCTTCGCAGGCCGGCTCTGCAGGGTTATTCCAAGAGGACCTGCTGGAGGAGTCGCCCCCAGCCTTCCAACAGCTCGGGAATCCCATCATTGCCTGTATCAGATTCCTTTTCACTCCAAACAACTAAAGTGGTTCTAGTCGTCTGCGACCCGACCCTGATGAATATACGATCTGTTACCAGAAACCATCGCAGGCGACACATTTGCAAGGCCGGTAACCTGGGACTGGTTACTTGTTCTGGTTGATTTAAAGGCCGTGAGGACCTCGTAGCCATCAGAGAATGGAGTTCTGACAGATCCCCACCCATGAGGGCAAAATGATTACCTGCGATCGCTCAGAACTAAGTGCCTGTTAGATTCCCGGCTTTGGCAGACTGAGTTGTGGCTTCCAAGCCCAACACAAGCACGGCTTATCCAAGGACTGCGGGGGGAAGGCCGCTCTTCATCATCACACCGAAGGGTTTACAACAAGGAACGGCTTTAAATCCTCAGTGTAAGCTACGTTCAGAGTGCCAGGGAGGTGTGTGATAGACTTAGAAGAATCTCTTGTCTCCTAGGGCTGCAGGGCTGGTGCAGCTGGAAATCAGATGCAGGATCTAACCCTGTCGGGTGCGGAATCACAGCACAGACTCCACCCGAGCCTCGCCAAGCCACCTCTGTGAAAGGCGGGGCATCATTTAGGGGCAGAGAGGGACCCTAAGAATTGCAACAGTTAACATGCAGGTAAGTCCAAGCACCACGAGCCCAGTTAAGAATCCCTGCAGCACAGCAGCGGGGATAGAGGGAAGGAAATTATTGCAGCCATTTTTGCAGACAATGCACCACATTGGGCAGGGCAGCTGTAACAGGAAAGGGGCCAGAGCAACACAGAAAGGTCTCGCCACGGGGATGTCAGGCTCCCGGAGTCCTTGGGACTGAAACAGAGGGGCAGCCTCCAAAGGACCTGCTCAGTAAAAACCAGCGGAAGTCTAAGTCAGTTCGACACAGGGCTGAATTGGGGCACCATGACAGAGGGTCAAGCACCAAACCTGGTTCCAGACCTGGGACAGTTCACCGACCTCCCCCATTGACAACAGCTCCCATACTGGCTGTTCGTCTGGGAAGAGAAGACACTTGTCTCGGGAGAGGCCCAGTGGGTGTGTCCTGAGCACCCAGAGCCTAACAAAACAGTAAAAGCAAAAGCGAAGCCTCATTGACGGGGCGGAGACAGGTGGAACCTGGAAATTTTTATCAGTGGGATTCCAATCATAGCAGCTGCTCCAAAAGTGATTTCTTTACTGGAGCAAATCAGTAGAGCCCTTGATTCCCTGCGTACAGCTCTTGAGCCAGCAAGTGCGTTTTCTCTACCGAAACAAGCACAGAAGTTAAACATTCACCTGGTAGGGAGGGCAATACACTAGCATGCCTCCAGGCTACATGCATTCTCTGGCAGAGGACTTAACAATTAATTACCCGTATTTTCTCACTTGCTGTATTACATACACATACATATACATAAACATATACACACGCACACACACATGCACATGCATATACATACATACATGTATTTCTTGGGTTAATATTTTCCTGGTAATGCTTCTTGGTTTTTAATACACAAACCTAAAAATGTGTGTCTCGCTCAAGACAATGTGATTTTTTTGTCCAAAGTTTATATAGGAAACACCTAAATTACATTTACATCCCAGAAATCTCAATACGAGTTTTGTTAAACAACATTTTATTACATTTGCTTTCTTTTTCACTTTTACTGAGCCATATAAAGACGTTTGCAGGGATACACAAAATGTGGTATACGCATACAATGGAGTATCACTCAGCCTTTAAAAGGAAGGGCATTTTGACATACGTCCGACATGCACGAACCTCGAGGACATTATGCTAAGTGAAATAAGCTCATCACGAAAAGACAAACACTGCATGGTTCCACTCAGACGGATTCCAAAGTAGTCAAATTCACAGATAGAAGCAGAATGGCGGTTGCCAGATGCTGGGGGAGGGGAGAATGGGCCATTATTGTTTAATGGACAATAGAGATTTT